TTGACTTTTTTTCGCCCGAAAATAAAAATTGCCGAAATGTTTACCATGGTCACTAATATCCTCCAAGAGTCCAATTGGGTTGGTGGAACCATCCAATTTGCTTTCAAACGACATATTTATTGGTTTACAACTTGCACGGATTTCATTAACTTAAGCGTCATACAAACATTTATGAAAACATATAATGATTATGTATGGTTTCAAACGGCATTATATGGCCCTAAGATGTATTCCTTAAAATCTCAAGATTTTTCGTCACCGTGCCCTGAAACATCCAAAATTTCTTAAAAAGCGTGGATATTAGCCTTCAATTTTGGAATTTTACGACTTTTTTTTGCCCGAAAATAAAAATTGCCGAAAAATGTTTACCATGGTCTCTAATACATTCCGGGAGTCCAACTGGGTGTGTGGAACCATCAAATTTACCGTTAACCGGCCAATTTACCGGTTTACAACTTGCACGGATTTCAATAACTCAAGCATACTACGAACATTTATGACAATATATAATGATTATATATGGTTCCAAACGGCATTATATGACCCTGAGATGTATTCCCCAAAATCTTAAGACTTTTCGACGTCGTGCCCCGAAACTTCCAAAATTTCTTAAAAAGCCTTCAATTTTTGAAATTTTTGACTTTTTTTCACCAGAATTTAGAAAGTGCCGAAATGTTTACTAGGGTCCTTAATACGCTCCGGGAGTTCAGTTGGGTGGGTTAAACTATCCAATTTGGCTTTAAACGGCCAATTTATCGGTTTACTACTTACACCGAATTCATTAAATAAGGCCTACCACGAACATTACTGACAACATATAATGATCATAAATGGCTCCAAACGGCATTATATGACCCCGAGTTGTATCCCTTAGAATTTCAAAACTTTTCGACACTGGGTCCCAAATCCTCTAAAAATTCTCAAAAGCGTGGATATTAGCTTTCAATTTTGTAATTTTTTTACTTCTTTTCGCCCAAAAATAAAAATTACCGAAATTTTTATCATGGTCACTAATATCCTCCATGAGTCCAATTGGGTTGGTGGAACAATCCAATTTGTTTCCAAACGTCCAATTTATCGGTTTACAACTTGCACGGATTTCATTAAGTCAAGCGTAATACAAACATTTCTGACAACATATAATGATCATATATGGTTCCAAACGACATTATATGACCCTTAGATTTATTCCCTAAAATCTCAAGATTTTTCGTCATCGTGCCCCGAAACTTCCAAAATTTCTCAAAAAGCGTGGATATTAGCCTTCAATTTTGTAATTTTTTAATTTTTTTTCGCCCGAAAATAAAAATTGCTGAAATATTTACCATGGTCCCTAATACATTTCGAGAGTCCAATTGGGTGTGGGGAACAATCCAATTTGCTGTTAAACGACCAATTTACCGGTTTGCAACTTGCATCGATTTCATTAATCCAGGCCTACCACGAACATTTATCACAACAAATAATGATCATATATGGTTCCAAACGACATTTTATGACACCGAGATGTATCTCATAGAATTTCAAGACTTTTCAATACCGAGCCTCGAAACCTCCAAAATTACTCAAAAACGTGGATATTATTAGCCTTTAATTTTGGAATTTTTTGAATTTTTTCACCCGAATATAGACATTGCCGAAATGTTTACCAAGGTCCTTAATACCCTCTGGGAATCCAATTGGGTGGGTTAAACTATCCAATTTGTGTTTAAACGACCAATTTACCGGTTTACAAATTGCGCCGATTTCATTAAATCAGGCCTACCACGAACATTTATGACAACATATAGTGATCATAAATGGCTTCAAATGACATTATATAACCCCGAGTTGTACCCCCTTGAATTTCAAGACATTTCAACACTGGGTCTCAAATCCTCTAAAATTTCTCAAAAGCGTGGATATAAGCCTTCAATTTTTTAATTTTTGACTTTTTTTCGCCCGAAATTAAAATTTTTCAAAATGTTTACCATGATCCCTAATACATTCCGGGTGTCCAATTGGGTGTGTGGATCCATCCAATTTGCTGTGAAACGGCCAATTTACCAGTTTACAACTTGCATCGATTTCATTAATTTAGGCTTACCACGAACATTTATGACAACAAATAATGATAATATATGGTTCCAAACGGCATTATATGACCCCGAGATGTATCCTATATAATTTCAAGACTTTTCGACACCGAGCCCCGAAGCTTCCAAAATTTCTCAAAAAGCGTGGATATGCCTTCAATTTTGGAAAATTTTGACTTTTTTTACACAAATAAAAAATTGCCTAAATGTTTACCAAGGTCCTTGATATCCTCCGGGAGTCCAATTGGGTGGGTTAAATTATCCAATTTGTCATTAAATGGCTAATTTACCGGTTTACAACTTGCACCAATTTCATTAAATCAAGCCTACCACGAACATTTATGACATCAAATAATGATCATAAATGGCTCCAAACGGAATTATATGACCCCGAGTTGTATTCCCTAGAATTTCAAAACTTTTCGACACTGGGTCCCAAATCCTCTAAAATTTCTCAAAAGCGTGGATATTAGCATTCAATTTTGTAATTTTTGACTTTTTTTCGCCCGAAAATTAAAATTTCTGAAATGTTTACCATGGTCCCTAATATCCTCTGGGAGTCCAATTGGGTTGGTGGAACCATCCAATTTGATTTCAAACGGCCAATTTACCGGTTTACAACTTGCATGGATTTCATTAACTCAAGGATACTACGAACAATTATGACAACATATAATGATCATATATGGTTCCAAACGGCATTATATGACCCAAAGATGTATTCCCTAAAATCTCAAGATTTTTCGACACCGTGCCCCGAAACTTCCAAAATTTCTCAAAAAGCGTGGATATTATCCTTCAATTTTGGAATTTTTCGACTTTTTTTTGCCCGGAAATAAAAATTGCCGAAATTTTTACCAGGGTTCCTAATACATTTCGGGTGTCCCATTGGGTATGTGGAACCATCTAATTTGATGTTAAACGACCAATTTACCGGTTTACAACTTTTATCGATTTTATTAATTCAAGCCTACCACGAACATTTATGACAACAAATAATGATCATATATGGTTCCAAACGGCATTATATGTCCCCGAGATGTATCCCATAGAATTTCAAGACTTTTCGACACCGGGTCCCGAAACCTCTAAAATTTCTCAAAAAGCGTGGATATTAGCCTTCAATTTTGGAATTTTTTGACTTTTTTTTGCCCAAAAATAAAAATTGTCGAAACATTTACCATGTCCCTTTATATATACCCTACTATGTGGAACCATTCAATTCGCTTTTAAATGGCAAAATTGCTGGTTTACAAATTGCACCGATTTACCGGTTTATAACGGCCAATTTAACTAACTCGCACCGAACTCGACTTGAACCGAAATTGACCCTAACCCGTTTTTACCCTTCAAAACCCGAATTTAACCCGACTTGTTACTTACCTGACCTGAATTTAGCCCGACCCTTTCCAAATTTAACCTAACCTGTTACAAATTCAACCCGGCTTATTATTGACCTGACCCAAATTCAACCCGACTTGTTATTGACTCGATACGAATCTTACCAGACCTATTACTAACTCGAATAAAAAATTCAACATGATTTGTTACTAACCCGACTCGAAATCGACACGACTTGTTATTGACTCGACCTAAATTCAACCAAAAATTTTCTTGACCCGATTTCAAATCACCTTAAATGCAATTTAGACCACCTTATTATTGTTGATCAAAGCATTTTGTGTAGGGAAACCAAGTCGGTCCAGGCCAGCAAAATAAAGAGGCGTCATCCTCAAATTTAAGAGTTAAATATAGTATATATTTGTTGTATGGTCAAAGGAGATAATTATCTTCCTAAATTATAGACTATAGTTCCCTTGTATATTGTCATATACGAAGTATATTATAATCAAAGAAAATAATTAGTTTGATAAAAATGATAATTATCTATTTATAGTTAGTTGAATCCGAATATGAACTGACTTGGAAATGACCCGACTTGATTGTAACCTTCAAATTATTGACTTGAACATAACCCAACTTGAATCCGAGAATAACTCGACTTGGAAATGACCCAACCTGATTATAACCCGCAAATTATTGACTTGAACCCGAGAATGACCCGACTTGAAAATGACCGACCTGATTAAATACGCAAATTATTGACTTGAATTGAACCCGGCTCAAACCCGAAAATGACCCGACCTGATTCTAACCCGCAAATTATTGACTTGAAACGAACCCGACTCGAACCCGAGAATTACCCTAACCCGTTTTAACCCGAATTAAACCCGACCTATTGTTCACCTGACCCGAATGTAACCCGACCTGTTATTAACTCGATAAGAAATATGACCCGATTAAAGCATGACCCAACCCAAACCCGACCCGCATAGGTTATGAAATTAATTCGAATTGACCCGACCCGAGTTAACCCGACCCACTCTTATTCGACCTGTTTACCCAAATTGACAACCACTCGTATCCCATCAACAAGGTGAGCCAAATTATTACCAGCCCTTTTATTACTTTGATAGCCAAAAATTTGTTATCATAGGCTTAATTTAATCGTTTGATAACCAAAATTTTTTTGCTACAAACCCGTGTAAAATTGCAATGCTCTAGTGTTCAACACACGTTTTTGCGGCGCTTGATCTGAGGAAAAGAACGTGCTTATTACCAAACTTCAAAACAAAATCATAGCAGTACAGTCATAAATCCTCAAGCTTCAAATCTGCACTTGTTTCTCTCAATTTATCCATCAAATTCAGGTATATTTCATTCCTCAAACAAAATACCCAGAAAAAGAAATCATCTTTTTCAGTTTATATTTGATTATAAATTTATAATCTGTTATAGAAAGCTTACATTCATCAAATTTAACAGCAAATTTAGTCAATATTTGCTTTATTGAGGTGAATTCATTTTATTTCCCATTGAAAATTTATGATGATAGGCAAGATGTTTAATCAGTCAATTTTTAAAATGCTAATGCTTGTATTAGTATGCTGTATGATTGTGGTATTTCTGTCAATGTTTAAACTACCTGATGATTCAATTGGGAAAATGAATGATTCCTCAAAAATTAGGGGAATTCATTCAAAGAATGAGAAATTGGGTAAATTTGGGGAGATGATGGTTGGAATGTTACCTGATGATCTTGCATTTACAGTGTTTGTGCCCTCTGAAAAGGCCTTTGAACGTGATTTGGGATTAAGGGCAAACCACAGTTATGATCCTAAAGAGTTGGACAATGTATATGCAACGGCTTCTCATGTACTAGGTTTTTCGACGATTCCTCAAAAGATTTATACTGATTTGCTCCCTGACGGGAAGGGTTTGTCATATGATTCAATCTCTGGATTTGCATTGTATATTTCAAAGGATTTTGATGGGGTTTTGGTTGTTAATAGGGTTAGGGCAAAACAAGTTGATCTTAAAAGAGGTGAGGTGGTGGTGCATATAATGGATGGAGTTATAATGGATGCTGAGTTTGAGCAGTCAGTTAAGCCTGCTGATGAAGATGAAATGGCAATTAAAGATTGATTTTGGGAGTACTGATTAGTTTTACATTGGTTCTGATCTTTAGGGGTTCAAGCTTCAAAGAAATCGAGATTATTGGTTGAAATTACATGGCTATAACTGAAGTTTGAAGTTTATAGATATTCCATTTCCGGCTTTTGTGTACTAATACAGTTTGATGGAAGTTGAAATGTCAGTATGATTGTTGAAGCTGGGGAAATTGGTCATATTAGTTCAGTCTTCGGCTTCTGGACAGTGCACATTTGCTTATTATGCTTGGATTGTTGCCAATATACGCTTTTAACTCTTATCAATCAATTTGTGAGTATGGTAGAAGCTGCAGGAGTAGTTGTGGCTGGTAAGTGGTACGAAGATGAAAAATACTCACTCAAAGCAATGCATAGGATAGTGTACTGAGTAGTTGTTGTCGCAGTTTACAAGGTAGTAAACCTGTATAATGTACACTGATGAAAAAATACAGAATTTTTGGCTGAAAACAGGATTACCAGAGCTTTTAATCTCCATTCTATAGAACTTTCTGATTCAATTGGTTTGAGCATATCTCCAAATAGTTCATAAGTCAACTTCCTGATCCTGCAATAGTATGTGTTCCAACCTAAAGGTTTTCTGAAGTGACAATGTGAGAAAGAGGGTGCAACTTATTTCACAGTTGGAAGTAGCGTACACATATCTTTGTCACTTTGTCAACCATCAGGTTGTCATTAGACAAACTAATCTTTTAATTAATGTGAACACGAATCATTAATTTATTTTCACTTACAATTTTTATAATGTGGATGTTAACAGCTTCATATATGTAAGCCGTTCATATCAAAGTGTCTGATTAGAAGATAATAACTTAAGATTTTTGGCAGCTATTTCTTATATTGGTGCAACCCTCTCACAATGTATTCGTGCAAGACTGCAAGAGGCAAGGAGAAAAAACTACTAGCATCTCTAGGAAATATGTACAAACTACTGAGTGACTCCTCAAAAACCAAGGAAACAGAGGAGATTACCACCTACGTATAAAAATGAAAATTAAAAGTCTTCTGTTGTGAAACATACAGTAATTGTTGCATGATTCAGTGAAATTTTTTGTTTGAGTGGAAATTGCTAATGCTTGGAATTTTCTTCAGGCTCTTCTTTTATGCTCATCTCTATCTCATCAACTGTGGTGTTGAAACTTTCAGTTCCTCCCATGGCAGTAAGACTTGCATCTTCTGTGGCAACGGTAGCTGCTGAATTACCACTTTGCATTTCCTTTAGCATCGTCATGACTTCGAACATAGTAGGCCGTTTTGATGGACGATCATCCAAGCAAGCACAGGCAAGATTCAAATGCTGCAAGAGCTCTACTTCCAAGTTTGGATCTTCCTTCATCAGCTCAGGATCAAATACATCACTTATTTTCAATTTCACATGCATCTTAACCCAGCTTACAAGATTATTATAGTCACCAAAATCAGCTGAATTTGTAGGTTGTTTCCCTGTCAGCAACTCCAGCAACACCACACCATAGCTATACACATCTCCCTTGGTTGAACACCTAAAGCTTTGGTAGTACTCGGGAGGAACATATCCTGGGGTACCAGCCAATGTGCTCACACTCAAATGAGTATCCATTGCACTCATAAGTCTAGCCATCCCGAAGTCAGATACCCTTGCTTCTAAGTTTTCATCTACCAAAACATTACTAGATTTCATGTCGCGATGAATTATGTGTGGGATGCAATTATGATGAAGAAAAACCAAGCCTCGAGCTGCCCCAATTGCTATCTTTCTTCTCACACCCCAATTCAGCTTTATTACAGACTTTTTTGGATCATGTAAGACGTCTGCGAGGGATCCATATTTCATGTATTCGTAGACTAACAATCGTTCTTCCCTCACTTTGCAGTATCCCAGGAGAGGCACAAGGTTCCGGTGTTTGATCTTCCCAATGGTCTCCATTTCAGCCGTGAACTCTCTGTCACCCTGCCCACACATATATATTAGCTTTTTGATAGCAACCACACTCCCATCCTTGAGTTGAGCTTTGTAGACATCCCCAAACCCACCTTTGCCAATCAAACTGTCATCATGGAACCCATTTGTGGCTTGTAAAAGATCAGCAAAAGTCAGCTTCTGAAGGGGCTTCTCAAATGTTGCAAGGTTGATGCTCAAAGCCTCGCGATTGCTGGTAAATCGCCAAGCAGAAGTTGTGTTACCGTCCATGTATGTATCCTGCAAAGCTTCCTTCTTTCTCCTCCTCTTCTTCAGCTCAATGCCCACTATGATCAACCAGAATATGCAGAATAGAGAGGAGAACACTCCCATTGCCACATTTGCTGCCATGGAAGTCTTCCTTCCATGCTTTCTATGATGAGATGAAGTTTCACTTGTGTTTCTGCTGCAAATCGGCAGGGGAAACCCACAGAGGCCAGTGTTATTGGAGAATCTAGAAGGCGGGAAAGTCTCAAACTGTCCTGTTACAGGAATCATACCTGAGAGTTCATTGTTTGACAAATCCACATCCGTCAAGGAAGAAAGACTGCCTAAAGACGGTGGGATAAACCCCGAGAGATGGTTGTGTGAAAGATCCATAACACCGATGTTTTTCATCCCTGCAAGATCTTCAGGAATCTGACCAGAGAGGTTATTATGACCCAAATTCAATATCCACAGAAAGAACATTGTGCCGAGCTCTTTAGGGATACTGCCCTGGAGATTGTTATAGGATAGGTCAAGGAAAATCATGGACCCATTGTGATAAAAATTTGGCTGAGTATGACCTAGGTAGATTTGCTGGAATTTGCATATAGTAGGGATTCTATAAACAGCCTTGCGCCTTATACCGGAAAATTCGAGCAAATTCCCTGTCCCATGGCACCCATTTCCTCCATAGTTTCTCAAGTACCAATACTTTTTCCCAACATTAAGTCCAATAGCCCCTGACTGCTTGGGTAAGGCAGGAGGAATACTCCCACTCAACAAGTTGCTATTCAAATCCAACCATAACAAGCTCTTGCATTCCCCTAACTCAGGTGGGATTTCGCCATAAAATGAATTATTTGAGAGCTTGAGGATGGCAAGATTAGTCAAGCTACCTATCCAAGATGGTATTGTTCCACTCAACTTGTTACTTGACAACGAAATACAGTTCAAGTTTTTGCAGTTCATCAGGCCAGAGGGAATGGGACCAGTCAATTCATTGTAGTCCAAAATCAAATTTTCAAGTGCTCTATTGTCTGCAAGCTCGGAAGGGATAACCCCATCAAGCCTGTTCATCCACATTACCAAATCTTTAAGTTGGCTTAGTGTACCCAAGCTACTTGGGATCCTACCAGTAAGGAAATTGAAGCTAAGATCAAGCGAAACAAGGTATGAGCAATTACCTATACTTGGCGGTATATGGCCAATAAAATCATTGTTTTGAAGGTAGAGTTCTTTCAAGTTGCTAGGCTTTCCCTTTGGGTTTTGACAAATACCAGATGGGATTTCCCCTGAAATGCTATTAGAGCTCAAATCTAAAGACTCTAAGCTACTAAGCATAGAGATAGAATCAAGCAAAACACCCTTAAAGAGATTAAAAGCCAGCTTTATTTTCTTCAAACTTCCCATTTTTAGAAACATATCAACAGGCAAATCCCCAGTTAAATTGTTGCTCGAAACATCGAATTTTTCTAACAAAGAGCATGATTCAAATCCAGAAGGGATCATACTAGAAAAATTGTTGTCCGACAGATCCAACTTAACCAAAGTTGAGCAAACATCATCAGCAAAATTCTGAGGAATCATACCTTGAAAATTGTTGGTGCTCAAGTAGAGAATCTCCAAACTTTTCAATGGCAGTGAGGGAAATTCACCATTGAACTGATTATGAGACATATTTAAGAAACTCAAGTTGTTACACTCTACAAGTGAGTTCTCAATCTTACCAAGAAATTTGTTTGAAGACAAATCAAGATGCTTCAGATTAAGACAGTCTTTCCCAAAGTTAGGAATTGGAGTTGAAAAATTATTGAAGGAAAGATCCAAATACTCCAAATTTGAGCACCCAAAAAGAGAAAATTTTCCCTCAAGTTTGTTCCTCTTTAAATTTAAGTGACTCAAATTCTCACACCCTTGAGATAATACCCATGGAAGAACTTCCTCCCCAGATAGTTGATTCCCAGAAACATCTAATGTTTTGAGGGAAAGCCCAAAAACAACATCACTCAATTTTTTTGTAGAATCTAATTCATTGAAAGAGAGGTTTAATATTGTAAGTGAGGAACATGTTGAAAACCGTGGCAAATTGAAAATTGACCCTGAAATGAAGTTGTGGGAGAGGTCAATTTCTGAGAGAGAAGAAGAGCAGAGAAAGAAAGGTTGAAGAGACCCAGAAATGTTGGAAGATGAGAGGGAAAGAGAAGTAAGGAGCTCAATAGGGAAAAGATGAGTAGAAACAGAGGAAAAATCAGTGGAAACAGAGAGTGAGGTGAAATCTAAAGAAGTAACCCTGGAATTGTTGCAGAAAACTCCAGTAAATTGACATGGATCAATGGAATTTTGCCAATTTTGAAGGATTTCTGGGTTAAGGAGTGAAGATTTGAAGCTCAACAATTTCTGGGCATCTCTAAGTTTTCCATTGGAAGAAAGAGAAGTAGGTGAAACAGGGGAAAGTAATGGTGGAATGAGAGAAAAGAGAAATAAAATAGTGTGAATTTGATTCATCTTTTCTGGGTAGATATTCATAGAGCTTGTCTACTTAGTGGGTTTTAGTGGGTGAAGTTTAAAGTGCGCCATTATTGAGGAAGTTGAGAGCTTTGATCAATGAAGAAAACAGAGGTGTGAAAATGTGTCGTTTTGGAGGGAATGTAATAGAGTGACTGTTGATTGGTTTTTCTAATTAAATTTTTGGAGTGTTTGTATAGTGAAATTCTCAAAAGACATTTTTATTGATGAAATTCAAACTTAAGTTTTCGACACTTAGGCTGTTCTCATTAATTGAACTCAGTTCAGTTGAACTGAACTGAAATGAATATTTTATAAGAGAAGGA